TGTTTTAGACTAATCCTACAGCAGCAGATATCGTTTTTTGCGAATAAGCTTATCGAAGGTCGTGAATAGTGTGGGGTAAATACTAAAATGTTTATCATGGATACGCTCCGCACGAGTGATCCAAAGTTGGATGGGTTCAATAGTGACGTAATTATGGAGGACTAAGCTTGCGGTTGATCAAAGCTGCAAGCCACGCCGTCAGACAGAGTCTCGCAATTTGAGTCTCTCCACTATTAAAATCTTGGTTGCACCGATTGGATGTAACAATGATTTACTTTCAATTATTGAAAGTGTGTATAACTCCTACAATTCCACTTTTACAGGATATGGTCATAGTCTATGATGCAATAGAAGTGTTGATCATGTGTCTGCCATAATCTGAGCGGAGAACTCAGCTTTCTACGCTTACACTTCAACATTCCTTTTAGATCTTGTTGAAGAAAAAAACGTCATTGTTTACCTTGCTTTTAGACTTTTTGATAATTGATCTGCTTTTTCCAACCAAATTAAAGCACCTTTTTGATAATATTGTACACTGCTCTATTTATTAAAAAATTGAATGTTATTAATTTTTTAAAATTTCTTAATTCTATTTACTTGATTATGAGCAATATCTTTTGCTTCTTTTAAAGCAGTAAAACAAGCAAATAATCTCATGTAAAGTACATAAGCACGTTCTTCATCGTTATTTAATTCTGCTTTTTTTGCTTCAGCCCATGTTGTTTCAATAACATGAGTTATTTGTGCACAACTTGCTAATTTAGCTTTTTGAATAGATGGATTATCATCAGCACGTTTATTTAATTCTTCAAGATTATTTGCTAAATATAATTCAACTTTATTTGTTGTTGCCATTGAATATACATTAAAGAAAAAAAAAGGACAAGAAAATCTAAAACAAAAACACAACGGTTTATTTTATTTTATTCTTTTATGAATCCATTTTATCAGAATCTTCCATAGTCATATCAGCGAGCATCTCATTAAGATCTATATGAGGTAAATCCTCTTCCGTTGCATCATCGATCTTATTTGATTTTTCTTGCAATTTTTTCTCGTCTAAAGAAATGAAAAGAAAGTTTCTTTTTTTTTTTAATAAAAATATGATGTTTGTTTTTTTTTACCTCTGTAAACATTGATATTTTGTCTTAAAACAGGATCTTCTTCAAGATCTTCAAGAAATTCCGTGTAATCTCTAAAAATCAAGAAATCAAATAAAGACCAATTTAAAAAAAAAATTAACAAACCGTTCAATGGTACTATTGACACTTCCTGCATCTTCAACATCTAAATGTTTTAATTTCCATTGACGTCGTCGATTACGAACACTTTTATCAGCATAAACTTTTTTGACAAGAATCTAAACAAATGATTTTTGTTTTAGATAAGAAATAGAAAAACACAGCGATGACAATAGACAAACTAACCACATCAGCTAATTGATCAAGATCATATTGATCCAAACTTGAATCACTGACATTAGTATTCTGTAAATCGAATCTAATTGTATACAAATAGAAAATGAAATTAAAAAATATTTATTATAATATTATCTTCATACCCCATAACTGTATCACCCGGATGTAAAATATGACCAAGATGACTTATTGTTGAATATTGTTTATCAACTATACCAATTTCAGATGCTTTAATTACGAAAACTTCTGCAAGAACATGCTAAAAAAAAAGAAAATTTAAAATGTTTTTAAATTCAATATAAAAATTTCAATTTCAAAACCTTATGTGATTCTTTTCCATAAACATGTGGTTTTGCATTCGCATCAAGAACATTAACATCACAAACAATGTATTCAACAAGATGTTTTGAATCACATATAGCAGTAAATGGTGATCGCCAATAATCATTTGCTGAAATTGGTGCAACTAAAATTAGATAATTAAATTAAAATGAATTATATTTCCTTATGCTTACCTTTAAGTGTTTTTGGATCAATTAAATAAATATTTTGTGTAACACGTGAACAAATGCATAACGGACCAATATTACCCAACTGTTTCGATTGTTTTTTCGATAAACACACAATGTCATCCTAATATAGATATATACATATACATAAAATAAGTTGTTTTTTTTACTTAAATTTATTTGTCTCTTACTTTGCAGATGGGTGCAATTTCAACAGCTGTTGTATATTTATAATTGTAAATATTACTGTGTATATCATGTGAAATAAGACGTTTTGATGTTTCAAATCTAAAATTAATATTTAATAACAAAAAGATGATAAATAAATCAATGTAAAAAAAAAAAGAATTAACCTGCATGGTACAACACACATAAGAAAATCAGCTAATTTTCTTGCACTGTTGTGTTCTGCAAAATAAAAATCTAAACCTCCATTAACCTGTTTGATATTTGATGCATCTGCATGAGCATTATGTTTAAGTAACAGTTGTTCAAGATAGAAAAATGTTTTTTTATGTGAAGTCTAAATAGAATTTTATTTTTCGTTAAAATAAAAACAAAAAAATTAATAAACTAACTCTTTGTCGAACTTGAACAAGTGCTTTCCAATAATCTTTAGCTTCAACTCGTTGACAATCATCACATATTTGATTAAATATTGTAAATTCAACAATAAATGTTTGTTGAAGTATAGCACCTTGAGCAACTTCTTTTTGAACAGTTAATTTAACCTTTATTCGTTTTGAATGAGGTTCAGTCCATATAAAACCAGCATCAATTAATCTTACCTAAATATTTAATTAATTAATTAATTAATTAAATAGAAATTTCAAAATTATTTTACTCACTTCTTTATTTAATCCCTTAATACGTTTTAAACATACGGTTAATAATTCTCGGGATTCCAATTGTGCACTAATCCATGTATTTGGTGGTTGAAGATAACTATTTACCAAAGAAAAATAAAATTACACAAGAAAATAATTAAAATATAAATATACCGAATACATTTGTTGCACATTTGTAATTGACCTTGTTTAGGAATTTGTTCTGTAATATCGATTTGTGTTTGCATACATCCATTACACATATTAAGTGCATTTGGTTCAATTAAAACACCACATTGACAACATAAACTAAAGGAAACCGAGACTACATATTAAAAATGAAAATAATAAACTAGATCACATACATTTTGCCTGTAGTTGTGGTCGATTCGTTACTATCAGTCATATATTCCATGATGTGTAAATGTTAGACGATAAGAGTGTTTAATCTAAAAAGATTTTATTTATGAAAAAATTACTAATGAAATACCTGAGTCAAATATGAATACTCTAGAATAAATAATGACGGTGCTGAAAGATAGATTAAATTATTGGATCACTAGAAATCCAATCTTTAGCAATGATCGATTTGATTCGTTGTTTTATAGAGAGGAAATTCATTGAAATTCTATTGGTAGATCACGATCTAGGAGCTACAATTATTCGATATTGTCTCTTCTATTTACGAGTTGAAGAAAAAGTTGATTTGAAATGTTATTGCACAATTTCGTTATTTCGTCAAGATAGTAGCGAGCGTTAACTGATTTACTTGACTCATTTACCGACTTATATTAGTTTAAGCATTCAGTTTCTTTCGGATTTTCATTGAGGAAGACTTGCCACCAAGACAATTAATTCATTATATACATCAAAATCATGGATATTTTTAAAAAATAAAATTCTCTAACACGAATACGTAAATGATAAACATGATATTAAACTATAACATAGTCTTCAAATAATATTAAATTTGAAAAGTTTTATTCGACTTCAAAGTTGAATGAATTTCAAAGTCAATCTTATGTTTAACATGCATAGCTTGCTACTAATAGTCATGGAATGATTTTTAGCAAGTCATCAATAGCTGGTTGTCTCAGATCATTGATCTGATAACATGCTAAGTACGTGATGAAATACATTGATCTTTGTGACTAGGAGATCGTTAGGCACCGTGCATAGGTAGCTAAACAATTGATCGAATGAACTCTAAATGTCAGATTAGCCTTTGATCCAGAGGTACAGCTAGTCATATTTGTAGGGTAGATATTGAACCTATGAAACTGTTCCCTCCTATTAGCAACACTATATCACAAGATAGTCGAAAGACAGTAGCAATGCTGCCAGGCTTTTCCGTCAGAGAAGGGCTAGGTCGGCCTTCAGTCCTACAGTTAGACTTACGTTAGCAATAGTTTTTTGAAATTTCCGAATGGCTCAGTCATCTCCGTCTCCCTGTGGCGCCACCTCTAAAAGGCAGAAGTACTCTTCCTTCTATAAAGCATGGATTTGGAAAGTTTGACTCATCAACGTTTGGGCACGTGGGCTTCTATTTTTTTATTAATCAAAACATCTATTAAATGTGTTTTCTAATTTTTTCTGAAACAACCGTCATGTTTCGAACAATTTTTATAACGATAGCAATAAAAAGAAATGTTCAAAATTCTTAAAATAAAATATAATTATAAAATCAGAAAATATGTAAACAATATAGTGACTATATGACATTCATACATTCTTTAAACGAAACCTTCAATACATGTAGTATTACTTATATATTTGTTACCTTATTTGCCACAAAATGTTTTGAGTCTTAGTTTTTATATTTGCATGTATGAAAAAATAAAGGAAAAAAGATTCGCTTTTAAACATCTGAGAAAGTTTAATGGCAATATATTTGTTTTTAAATGGAATGTATAGACACAAAAAAAAATTTTTATATAACATATAGCAAAAACAAATCAAAGAGAATTCACACTTAATCAAAAGAAAAAGAATAAGACAAAAGAAGAAGTTCATACACCGAGGATACCTGTCTCGGAAAAAAACTTTAATTACCTATTAGATAAACAAAAAGACATACTAGAACTAACTTTCTAGTCTGAAGTTTACTCTGCATTTATGCATATATATTTAACGAGATTCATTGATGCAGAATTTAAAAAAAAAATACTCGTTTTTCAAAAATGAAAATACGATTAATTTACAATGGACATGAAAAACAAGAAAAAAAAAGAGTTCGATTAATATATTTATACAGCAGTTGAAAAATTCTTTTGATCATCATGTTGACCATCATTAGCAACACCATCACTTTCACCATATTTTACCAAATATGTACGTCGTTTTTCATCATCAATTTCTCCCATTGAAAGATCACTTGGTCTAAACAAAAAGTTTTCTTTTATTGATAGAAATAAATCAATTTTAAACATACGCTCGGTTATAATCAGTAAATTTGTCATCGTCATCACCATGTATCAGATCTTGTTCTAATGATAAAAGAAAAATAATCATGAAATTATTTGAAATAAACAGAAAAACAATATTTATATTAAATCTTCATTTTTCTTTTCGACGAAGATCAAATATTATGATTAATTTTAATAAAAAACAATATGAGCAATTTCAATATTTACCTGGATATTTTCCACCTTTACGTGTCATAAGAACACAAACCGCAATAAGAACAATCACTAAAATAATTAATGAAATAAGAAGACCAATAAACCAAGGTGCATCACTAAATCGTGGACGACGATCTAAATAAAATTCATTGAAATAATTCTATTAAAATTAATTCAAACATACCTTTGCCCAATGTTGAAACTAATTGACGATCACTTTTTGTTTCAGCACGTATACCATCACCAGCAACTAATATTGTTATATATGTTTTACCTGGTTCAAGTGGACTAACAATAATAGTTCGATCATTTGATACAACATATGTTCTTTTAAATATAGATTCACCATCTAAAAAAATTCACAATTGATATGATTAGTTCTAACGAAGGAAACTACTTGAACTGATACCAACCGTTTAAACTCATATTTAATTCATAAGAAGGGATAGTAGAAAAGTCCTTAAAAGATTCGTGTTCATAGGCTGCTGAAACTGAATTATAACCATTGTATTGAATTTTCGATCCATCTTTATGTATCTTTTGAAAAATCAAATAAGAAAATTTCGATCTGAAATTTTGTCTATAGATACGATTGATAACTCCAGGAATATTGTAAAGGTTTCAGTTGAAAAGAAAGCTCTTTTGTCGAGATATTGAATGTTCAAGTTCACACGATTGTTGTGGAAAGTGGCCTTTTTTTTTTTGAAAACTCAATATCTCAACAAAGAAACACTCTTTTTAGCTGAACCTTACAGAATATTCCAGACACATCAGTCCTATTTATGAGCGAAATTTCAGGTCGAAATTCCTTTAGTTTATTGTTTCAGTAAATATCTAGAAGCTAGATCGAAAACTCAGTAAAACGATCATAGTTCCACTAGACAGGCTCACGAGCACGAATATATTTAAAATTTTTCTAATCTTATCGAGGTCTCTCTGTGAATTCAATATGCACTCAAACAGTAAAAATCAGTTTGTGTAGTTTCCTCGTAACATATTTTATTCATACAAACCTCTTTCATCTTCTTTATATTGTACATAATAAAGACTACCAGGAATGGTCATTATGGTTGGATCAAATGAAACATTAAAGAATGTTGTTCCTCGGTATGAAACAAAAAATTTTGGTTTTGATGGCACTTAAAAAAATAAAACAAAAAATTATGATTAAAAATGTTTTATTTTTTCTCATTAAATATTTACCAAGACTGTAATTTGTTGTAAGTTCAATCATAGCTGGACTTGTTGAAAGACCAACTATAGTACGTGCTCGTGCTTGAACACGATATTTTGTATTTGGTTTAAGTCCACCAATGAGATAACTTCGTTGATTAGGATCTTGAATTATTATTGATGGCTGATCAAGACCCGGTTGAGCAACAATACTAAATAGAAATCAAATAGATACTTATTTAGTCGTTTATATAATAAATACCTTTCAATAGTTCTATAATCAATTTGATAGCCAATTATAAAACCATTTGGTTCATCAGGAGGATCCCAAAAGAGAAAAATTCCATTACCAGCAAATGGTACACCACGGAAATTAGTCACTGGACCTGGACGACCTTCTCTTGTTTGAAATTCGGTCTAGAAAAAAAAAATTTAATATTGTTTTGTGAAACATCATCTAAACGCCGTGTAAAAGTATACAGGATAGAAATTTGAACCCACTTCCTTCTTATTGCAAACCGTGCAAGACATTGTTGATATAAAATTATAGATCGTATATATCAATAAGGTCTCGTTCTAATATATGAACTACTTCATTATTGCATATCTAGAGTATCATGTTGAAAAATAGTTAAGACATGTGTCTCAACATAGATAGAAGCAAAAATAATTCTTCGACGATCAGCAACCAGAACAGTTGCATAGTATTTCGCATTTTAATTCCAAAAGAATAGTACTAACAATCTAATATTATAAGCTAATACATACCACTAGACTTGTTGGTCCTAAATAACGTTCAGTTTCAATACGAATTCGAGCACCAATTACACCATTCGATGGAGCATTAAAAAGTGTTACCCAAGTTTGACCTGGTGCAATATGCGGTACAACACGTAGAGAATTTTCAGGATCATCAAGACGAAACATTTCAATCTACGTATATACATACACATGCATAACATGCAAAATGAAAACACAAAATAAACAACTTGATAAGCTTTAAGAAAGCCTCGAATGTTAACTTCATCAACAGCTAATGGAGGCTCCCATGCAAACTGTACTGTTGTAGCATCCAATACTTGCATTACACGAAAATTACGTGGGATATATGTCGGTGCTAGAATACACATACAAAACCATGCATAAAATATTTTAAAGAGAAAATTGAAAAAATTTTCTTGAAGTTTTATTATTAATTTGAAAGTGAAGAAAGGGTTTCGGCTGGACAAGATGTTTTTCGTCGATTACAACGACGATTAGGATGATGTTTACGTTGTAATAACATTGTTCGTATTGTTGTAGATTTTTGTGACGATGTTATATATCGCCATGATGCAGATAAAGGAGAAGTAAAAGAAACAGTTTCATAATTACCCGAATCACCAGAAAATGCAATATAAAAGATTGGAGGTTCATTCGCATCAGCACCATTGATATCTAAATAAAAAGATTAAATTTAAAAGTGATTCAATTATTTATGAATTCTATCGACTCAATCAATGAGTGTACAGTATATTATCCATATATATCCCAAAGCTGCTGAAAATGTGAGTTGTGGACCTCTGACACTGTTGAACATGGCTAGATGTTGATCACTTTAGTTGGAGAAAAAAGTTCTGATGTATATAGAATCCGGATCAAAGTTTTTGAATGAGTACTTTGGTGTCAAATTGGCGCGCGTTCGTTTTTTTCTTCAATTTGCTGTTCCCAAGAAACTTGCTAGCCTTTAAAAAAATTAGTAGTCTTGAAGAAATCACGTTTTCTTTGACAGTGTTTCCAGTATTTTGCTTCTCCTGAGTTCTAGGAGCGACATTTTGAAAAGAAAAAGAAAAGAAGCACCCGAATTTGATTCTAGTTCTCAAAAAACAATTGTAGCTTGAAAAAATGAAGTATTGAGTATTACAGAAAGACTTCTAGTCTTTGTGATTCTCATATCTTTCTGAAGAAAGCATTTAGAAATTTTGAGTCTATGACCTATTTTACTCTACTTTTTTGTTCATCTGTTCTCGAGACACATCAGAGAAGAAGAAGATCTCCTTATATTTTTCGTAAAAATAGAGAATGAAATCATAAAAAGTTTATAAACAAGAAAATGATTAGACTTCTAATACGATCTCATATATTCATCATAATCTGTTTTTGCCTTTTATTCAATGAGAGAGAAAGATGGCATTTAAATATACCTCCTGGTTGTTGATTAACTGCTTTAACATAATACTGATAACGCATATTAGGAATTGGATTTGGTATAGCAAATCGATTTTGTGGTGGATAAACACGTTGAGTCATAAAAGGCTCTGGATTAAGACCTGGTGCAAATGGACGCCAACCAACTTCATACCAAAATTTTGGTGCATTCCATTTTATTGGTGGCATACTCTATTAATTTAAATAATGAAAAATTTAAACGAACAATACAAAATAAAATTTCTTTTCCTTACATCCCATTCAATAAGTAATGGTATAAATTGTGTTGTATATGCTTTAACACCAACAGGATTTGATCTTGGTCGACATGTTGTTGTTGAACACATGGACTCTGATATCGCACTTGGATCACTAGCACCAATACGATTATAAGCAATGACACGAAATGTATAATTAGCCCAACATGATAATGTTACACGTAAATCATATTGATTTGATGGAAGACGTGTTGTTCGATAAACTACAATAAATAAATATTGTTTCTAGTTTTCCTGATATAGTTTTTGTAAAACTCATTTACTTATTGCACTTGGTTCTAATTTAACTGAACCATCTTGTGATTTAATCTCTGTATAAGTTTCTTGACGTCTTTCAACTGGTACAGATATCCAATCATTTTGTTGAAATGATGTATTATATTGTATTTCATAATAAAGTATTCGTGCATTATTATCACCTGAATTAAAATTAATTTTCTTCTTTCTTTTGTTTTAAAGAAGGTGGATCATTAAGCAATAAAATCGACTCCATTCCAAAATTGAGTTTATTATTTCTCCTATAGTCAGTTCACAATTCAGGAATCGATTACCGTTAGAATTCGTATGATCTATGTACAACCAAATTCCAAACTCACCACTGTCGATCTTCTATAGCGTTATATCATGAAGTTTTTAAATGAACAGTTTATTTTCCTTCTTCACATTCTTTAATTTGTCTGATGAATCATATAACAGCTTTTTCTTTCCTCTACCCAATGGTATATATGAGTATGACAAAACAATGTTCTTTCCGTTTTCTTTTTCGATGGTGCTTTCCATTCGGATATACAATATGAGAATATCTCTGGCAAAAGTTCTCGATAATCTTTTCAAGGCTCTACAAAATCATACTCTTTCGTTGAACTTAATTTGTGGGAAACGACATTTTAACCAAGCACACAATGTTCTTGAATACTACAAGAAGATATCCTTTTTGACCGATAGTTGACGGATTTTGGTCACTATAACTAGGCTTCTAATCAAAACAAATAATATATTTGAAATTAGTATTGAAAAATTGAGTCGATCTATATATGGTACGAAACACTTTGACAAGTTTTACTTTCAACGAAAAGTTCAGTTGAGGTTCTCTCCAAGATTATGCGGAAAAATAAAGTCAGTCCAAGCATCGTCTTTATTATTTATTCGCCTATCATATTGGATTTTTCTAGAGTTTTAAAAATTTAGAAGTGGCTTTATTTTTCGATTTAACCTTAAACGAATACCAGAAGGTTGAGTTTTTGAAGAAAAATGAAAGTTGACGAATCATTTCGTGACATATATGGATGAACCTCATTTTATAAGCTGATTTCAAATATATCGTTTGTTCTTAGAGAAACTCTAACTATTCTGCCCAAAACCAGTAAAATATCAATTAAAAAATAGTAACTTTTGGTGCTACAGAACATTAATGGTACATAATCCGAAGTGAGTCGCTGTTTTCATAGACTCATGAGAGGTGAATTCTTTCATGAATACGTTCATACTATATATATAGGAGTGAAAAGTGTCACTTAAAGAAAAAAGAGGAAGAAAAATATTTTGTCATACTCTTATATATCGCTCAACAACGGAAAAAACGAGCTTTTCTCTGGTTCGTATGTCAAATTAAAAAAGCTACAACAAGAAAAAAAAACTTTTTATATGAAAATTATATACCACCATCCTATCGAGAATAGTTAATCTCTTCATTTATAAGGCAACCGTTGGTAGTCTAAATGAGGGCTAACTGATTATTTCGAACAGAAAACGACTTCTAACATCAGCATTGGCTATCGAGAGAAGGAAGGAGGGGCAATTTCATTGCTTATTTGTCTCTAGGCTTTCTATAAAATAATAACCTGTTGCTTCCCATTGAACAATAGCAAATGGTTGTCCAAATGCATTTTGTGTTGAACCACTACAATTAACTTTTGTTATTCTTGGTCTGTTGGGTCGATCTTGTACAACTAATGTTGCACTTGCTTCATCAAAATCAAGTTCTGTACTTGCACGACATACATATGAACCACCATCATCAAATTGTACATCAACTATTTTTAATGTATTTTGATCAGCAATATCTTTTATGAAACGACCTAAACAAAGACAAAAAGAAAAAGAATTCCAATAGATAAAAATAAAATAGATTATATTAACCTGTATAAGCAAGTAAACGTCCATCTTTATACCAATCAATATCATATGTTAATGATGTATCAGCAACAGCTGTACAACGAAATATAGCATAATAACCACGACGTACTTCTTGATTTCCTGGATGAGTTTGTATACGAGTTTTTCGTTTAACATTTAATGTTCCACTACGTATGTCCGAACCAAATTTATTTGTTGCATTACATACATATACACCACTATCGGCTGCTGATGCTTCACGTATCATTAAACTTCCATCTGCTAATATCGTATACCTGACAATTTTTCAAAATAAAAAAATAAACTTATTTAATAAGAATCAACAATTGACAATCCTACGAAGCACACATGCTGTAAACAAGATAAAACAATACTGGTCTTTTTATACACTCATGCTGTTATAAATACATATCAAAGCATAGTTTTTTTTTTTCTGTTGTCATACCAATTTAAAGGCTAGGTAAGATATATACACGCATCGATAGGTATTTAAAGAGATAAGAGAGAAAAGAAGAAAATCTATGACTTACCTTCCACCAGTTATAACTTGATCACGTTTACTCCAATAAACCTTTGGCATTGGAGCACCAAATGTTTCACATGGTAGAAGAACATTTTGTCCTTCAACAGCTCGATGTAATGGATCTGGACCACGTTGAATTTCTGGTTTTTCAGCTAGAAAATAAAAATATTGGAATATTTAAGACTTAACTTATATATCAGGAAGAAAAATTCAATTTCATTGGTCAACAATCAGAGCTGATTCTTAAGATTATTAATTAAACACATTTCATGAACGATTTATTAGACTAAACTTTGGAAAATATTATTTTGACTGATTTTTCAAAGTTTTCCACAAATGGTTGCTAGTAACGATTTGAAAATCTCAGTGATTAAACTATGTTCTCTGATGAAAGCTTGTGTCCAACTATCTGATTGCTTTTCGCTTGACACTATTTCTATTTGATTGATTACTATGAGTATTTTTTTTACTGGATTTCTGCCATATATCGAGCTGAGAGTTTCTTTACAAATAAGACTTATAGTCGCTAGAAAAAACTTCCAAACTTAAACTAGAACAAAAAAGCTGTAACTTATCAAGATTGGTTCTTTAAAATTATTATTTTTCTATTTAAAATTTTTAATAGACACTTATTCATGATTAAATCTAGAGACATGAATACAATCTTTTAGAATTTTCTCACATAAATTTTTTCAATAAAACCTTTTACACGAAGACATTCAAAACTATGCAAAGAAATAAAATAATAGATCAATCTAATAAATAATAATTAGTTTCTTTTTAAATAGATAACGATTTGAAGT